GATGCTAAATTAGGAGGTGACAGGTACGCCTCATAATTTGCAAAACTGAATTTTCCTTTTTTAAGATGCCTGCAACACCAGTTTTCAAGCCAACCATTACTGGTGCATTATTGGCACCAAGTTCCAAGCAATTACCCAGAAGAATTGTATTTTCTTTTAAAGTTTCAATAATTAGCTATGCAATATTAAAGCCTGTCGAATGTGTGTAATAAAAAAAGAAACAACAACTGAATACAGTTTTGAATCAGTATTATTGCTCCCATTCATAGAGAGGCAGAATGGAGCTATTTTAATGCAATCAGTAACCAATTTCTTTAACAATCGAGTCATTTTGGCCCTTGCACTCAAGCTATCGGGAAACATTTTTCTAAATAAAGCTGCAGCATGATATGATGCATTCAGTGGCAGGTAAGTGCTCCAGTAAAAAAGGCAGTGAACAGACATTTTGTATTGATTACTTTTTTTGTCTTTTGTTTCCACAAAAAATAAGATTCCCCCGCCCCCTCCAAATAGAATTCAGACTGTCCTTATGTTTTTGTGTACACACATGTTTGAGAACAACAATCCTTCCACCGGGCAAATTCGAAAAATCACATTGACAAACGGTACACATTGAAAATGTATTACATTTCCTTGAGGAAATACTAGAAGGAAAGTCATTTGTGTACAATTTTTGAAAAGTACATTAGTATTTTACCTTTTTTGCAGATATAACTATAAAGAAAATCATAATTTCGGAAACTATTCCTTGAAATCACATGCACTTGCCCCACTCAGTTGCTAAGATGAATTAAATAATAACGTTGATCTTGTTTGGTGCTCATTGGTGAAACGATTCACTGATGTGCTCACTGACGAAATGACTTTGTTTTTCTTTTATTTCTTTTATAGGTAATCTAGAGAAAATCCAACTGCTTTCAGACATCTCAAAGCACATTTTTTTATAAAATTTATTTATTTATTTTTTTGTGCAAATAATGAAGTATTAAGCCAGGCTACATAAAAATCGTGAGAAATTTTTTAGAATAAGAGAAAGTCGAGAGAAATACGTTGTAAATTGGGTTGGTGAGAAAATTGTCGGAAATCGGGAGAATTGGCAACCCTGTATTATTATTATTATGATCACTATTTTTTTTTCCCAGAATGCAACAAAACAGTAACATTTAATTTATACACTATTCATGAAAATAAAAGGTGGCTTATTGAGAATCAATCCAGGTTACATCAAACAAAATTAAAGAAAGATGTTATGAGTAGGCTGTCATGTCATGTTTATCCATAGTTGCAGCTAAATCGCATTCCTTGGTGACAATTTCATGGATGACACTAAAGTGCCCAAAATTTAAGGTACATTTTCATATACTTAAGAAATTTTGGATATAATAGTATTTTGCAAATAATTCATATATAACAATTAACTGGCTGATGACTTAATTTATATGAATTTTAAATATGAAATATGCTTTCTGAACAAAGTGCTGATAAAAATAAAAATAAATATTTTAGACATTAAATTTTAGAATTCTATAATAAGGAAACATACAGCCTGTATCGGAGATTTATAGAACCTGCGAATGCTTAAGCATTAGATAATGAAAAAAAATGAAAGTCCTGCAAGATTTTCTATTTTTAATAAAAATATACTTATCATCTTTTTCAATTTATAACTAAAATTCCTTTTTAATATTTGAATTTAAAGGATAAAATTTTGCTAAACATACCCCTTTACGAACCTTAATTAAATGAACTATAGTCAACTGCTTATATTATAGAAATGCAACCAAATTTCAAAATCTATATAATTTAACCTCTTTTTTGGGAAAAGGCGGGCGGTCAGAAAATACCTAAGCACAGGTTGGCTGAATAGGTTTCACGACAAAAAAAATTAAGCTCTGGTGTATTACAACCAGACAATGGTCATAAGGCATTGAAATTAATAAAAGTATTTATTGCATAGTATTTTAAATAGAAAAAACATTATACTTTTTAAATGCAAGACAAATTTCTGCATTTGTAAAAGAATCACTTATTTTAAACTGTTTTGACCAACTCCCACTTAATAGTGCAAAAATAAAGAAAACTTTACGATAAATTTTATTGCAACTAATTACAACACAAAAAGCAAACTTACCTAATGGCAAAAAGAGAGAGCAAATAATTCTAGGTAAGAAAACCACATTGTAAGATGCTTTGAAAATTTTCATAAAAAACTTCCTAGCAAGATCATGATCTCCCAGTAATGTACAGATAATATACTGCGTTATGTAAGTAGCAATTAAAATATGGGCCTATAAGAAAAGTAAAGAAAATACATCAACACTTGCATAAAAACTTTTGGTTTATGTCAAAAAATTATAAATTTAAAAACTACACATTTTAATAAGTTCTGATACATGCAAAGATGAAAGAAAAAAAGTAGTTTAAAGTAGTTTTATTAGTAGTAGTAAATTATGCAGTAAAAGCACAAAATTTTCAACTGTAAAACTAACTGAATGCACCGAGCTGCATATTTTTCAAGAAGGTACAGTTGACTGCAATATATGTACTAAATCATGAAGTAACCCATTAATATGCTGTAAAAAATCTTTATTCAGTTAACAGTTTCTGCTTGAATTCTGATTTTATTTATTACACCATTCAGACTTCTTCTGATTTATCCAAAGAGAACCGTATCACCAATTACACTGGCCATCAAGATTAAAGGATACTGAGAAAAAATGTGCTCACCAAGTTAATTTTGCAACCAATGATCAATGCTGTAATTATTTATGTTGATTAGATACACTTGAACACAAAATTGAACATCACCACATACGCCAGTGCTGGAAATATGCAAATTCCGTGATTGAGAATGTAGCGCACAATGGACGCATGTTGGAATTTCAGTCTATAGTGTTGTTTAAAGTGAATGTGGTTTCTGGAAGTGATCAGTGTTCAGTAGGAATGACTCAAAGGTGTATAATTAAGTGAAGGTCAAAAGTGGCAGGTAACTGGTAGAATTAAGTGAGGCCAAACACAAATGAAAGTCACCCAAGATTTGAATATCCCTCAAAGTGTCAGAGCAAGAGTTTGGACCCACTTTTTAAGCACTGGATCAGCTGATCGACAGTCTGTTCAAGAGGCTCCAACAACAACAACTGCACCAAAACACGCTTTCTGTCGCTGGGAAAAAAAAAAAAACTGCAAAGATTTAGTTTTAGGCCTCCAGGCTGCCACAATATTAGCCATTCCACTGCTGTACGAAGACTTAACGAAGTATGAGAGAAAACTAATGGTTCGTATACCACTCACTCCAGCTTTCGGAGGGTCCTGTTGTCATGTTTCATGGAGCTAAGATGACTGGGCCCCTGTATTGCTTACTGATGAATCCAAATATAGTCTTAACACTGATCCAGATGTGTTTTGATCTGGAGAGAGGAAGGAACACGCAACTTGTCTTCCTGTGTCTCTGAAATATCCTATTTTCATGACGGCTGTTAAATAGTTTGGGGAGGAGAAGGTTCTGCTTGGAGATACGCGGACGAGGTATTGGAACTCCATGTTGAACTGTTTAGGGGGCTGTTGGCGCAGCGTTTTTGCTAATGTATGACAATGCTTGGTTTCATTGCAAGCTGAAGATTTCACTCACATGGATTAACCACTTTACTCACCCGACCTGAACTAAATTGAGCATCTGTGGAATGGCTAAGGATGCTGTGTTTCAGTGTGCCAAATTCCTCCCAGGATTTTCTAGGAAATGAAAGGTACACTTTTAGAAAAGTTGCATGCAATTCCACAAGAGCTGATCAACACTTTGGTAAATCTATGAAATCAATATGTGAAATATGCATCTGTCCGAGGTGACCATACATGATATTAAAGAAAATTTTTTCTACAAGAGGAGACTTAATTTGTCCATTATTTTCTAATTTGCATAAATTTGGTTTTAATTTAAATATTTTGCGAATAATCAATTGCAAAACATTGTAATTTATGTTAACTAATGCATTTGTACAAATTTCTATTCATGATTTTTCATTATCAATAATGCTTTATTTCGGTCATTACTTCTGATGACTAGTGTATAATAAAGAAGTCTCACTTCACCAAAATTAAATTGCAAAGATATGGAAACCAAAACTAATGTCACCAAACAATAGAAGTATACATTTGTTAGAATACACCTCATAAAATTATAAAAACAATATTCTAATTTATTATTACAATTGCTTTCACTTTTATTATTATAAGAATAATCTAATTTTTATGCACTTCTTAGGTGTATTTAATTATGGCAAAGCACACTAGGGCTATCTACCAGTGTTCAGAGACTTGGCCGCTGGTGGGCTATGCACTTCTTAGAAAATTTGTAATTTATATGAGTGACACAGCATACACATTATAAATATCGCATAGCAGAGCCATATTTTATGGCACTCTGTAAAAAATTATTACTTATTAAAAGTAATAAAATGCATACTAAATCACTACTGTAAATTTTTAATTCTAACTGATACCATAAAATAAGTTTCTAATAATTCAATTTGTATTTACCTTTGATGGAGCATCACAGCTACTTCTTTTTGCAGCCAATATCAACAATGCCTCATACATTTTTTGGAGAGAGGACTCATCTCTGGGCAATAATTCTTCATCTACTAATGTATTAAGAACATAGACAAGGAAGGATTCCTCAGAGCTCATGCATGTACTGCCACGCCAGAATTTTCTTTTTAAATCAGTGTGGTCAAACTGCAGAATTTCTTTCAAAAGGACAGCTGGAAAGACAAATTTTACGCGATAAGAATAAAGGAATTCCTTGCTTAACACAGGTAATTAATGCTCATAAAATTCTCATTAAGTGGAATTGTATTAGCCGAATAAGTAAATACAAATAAAATACATATTTATTATAAAATAGAAACCTTACATATTTATTATAAAATAGAAAATGATCTTAAATGAGTTTAGCTAGCAGTTAGTAATAATATAGATGAAGAACTAGATTTACTGCTTTTAAATCACTTAGTTTATTAATAAGTAAGACACATACTAAATGTGATAGAAAAACTAAATATCTAATGCTTTGCCTAATGGCATGGAAAATAAATTTCGAATAATGTCAACACATTTCTTTTCAATCGTCGAGTTTAATTAAATAGGAAAGACAAATATCTTATGCTTCGACAAGGGGCAACACATTTCTCTTGAGTTGCAGTTTTTTGACTAAAACTGAAGCATAAATATCTTTAAAGTTAATAATCTTGTCTTACTTAAATCTTAGCTTTCTAGATGTAAGTTCAACAATTCTGTTCAATTTACTTCACTGAAACCTACTTCATGTAAAATAGATGAAATTTTACGAACAGCTCTGTGACTAGTTCTAGGTTACACCCTGAAAAATGAAACACAAGCTTCATCCATGAACTTTTACTGATGTCATTCACTTACTCTGTTGACTTCCAAGAGGTCTTACTGATGATTGTTCTGTGAATGAACTCTTGAATATTTTCAGCAGCATTTTTTATGGTGAATAGTTTTTGGATCTGGACTAAGGAAACTGCATTATCATACGTAGTACTTAATGGCGTAGTGATTATACATAGTTATTTAACATATGGCACAGCTGCCAACCTTGAAATCAGAAAAACTGGAAGGTTTCTCTCGTGGATAATGACCCCATACAACACAAAGGAACCCAAAATGTATATAAATTCACTGTATAATGCATGATTCCTCTAACTGAATTATTAAAAATATGATTATGATTGTCAAATATAGTAATATTTAATTTGATATCCTACAGGATTTTATTTATTTGAGTTCTTGATCTTTATGATTGTGAAAACAAAGATGCTATTAAATTCGTTAATGTTGCAAGGGGGCTAAACAAAAGATTGGAGATCTTACAGCATGGTGAGAATCTGGATTTGTACTGAACATTTATGTACAGTATGTATTTCATCCACAATGCTTGTATTTTAATATTAAATAATGTAATAATAACAATAAGATTTTTTTTTTTTTTTTTTTTTTTTTTTTACAAGAACCGATTCATTATTTTCTCTTTATTTCTTATATGAAAAGTTTGGTATATGTTCAAGGATCTCAAACAGACTAATGATGTTTACCAAGGTACTACTGTATAGACTTTTTTTTATGTCTTTGCTTTACGAATAAAAGAAAATATGTCCTTCTATAAGATACCAGATGAATACCCTCTATCATCAAGCACTTTTAATAGTTTGATATATAATCGCATAATATAAATGATGTAGAGTATCCTCAGTTACAAATTATTTACACTCAGAAGCCAAAGATTCATGATTTTTAAGAGCAATCCTATCCTTTGTAATTTCAGTCATTATCCTGATTTAAAAAAAAAAAAAAAAAAAAAAAAGAGCATAATATATGATACTCACATCAATTAACATAATAGGATTTCATGCTCCACAATAAGGAAAAGAAATATGAAATTAATATCTTTACTTATTAATAAATAACTATCAGAGACACAAAATATTGAAGTGTACTTTTTAAATCTTTAATAGGTAAACTATACTATAAATAATTTCACAAAAGTAAAAAATTACCATCTATGTTCTTGAGATGATGCATATGTTGATAAAAAATTTCATGAACACGAACCACAGCTTTGTATATCTTAAGGGGTGCAAAAAACAGAAATAATTAGAAGTGTTGCAATTAATAAAAGTAAGTCTCTTAGAAGACAGAAAGATTTTAAATAAAGGTCATTTATACATTTTTAGAACAATCTTGCAGCAAAAGACAGAGAATCTAAAGTATTCCACTAGCATTATTTAGAACAGCATGTAAAAGAGAACAAAAACAAAGAAGTGACAGAAACATTATTTGATTGATGCAATAAAAAATTTATACAAAAAATTTTGTAGCGAAAATTCCAATATTTTAATATAATATACTACATTTATTAGATTTCATCCTTTCCATGTCCTTACACCTAGTCCTGAGAATAGGAATACATGAGCATGTATTGTACATTCTAATTTTAAGTTAAAAGCACAAAAGTTAATTAGTTAAAAAGTACTACAGACAAATGATCTTAAGTCATTATATTCATCTATAATGTGCAAGGTGAAATCTATGGCTTGCATGTATAATAACTGCACATAATGTGGTGATAAAAGAGTGACAGTAAATGTACCTAACAAAACTGACATCATTAATTAGTATTCATGGGAAAAAAGAAAAGAGATGAGGGAAAAAATTGTTAGAGGCAAAAAAGGGGGGGGATATGTGTTCAAAAAATATCTAAAGAGAAAAATTAAGGATGAGTGGGTTGCTAATTGAAAAGTTTGAAGCTGATTTAATACACATAAAAAAAGTCTTTAACATTAATCAGCAATTTTTAGGCTATAGAATTCGCAAAAATAATTTAGAATTTAATGAAGCTCTGCTATATGTTGATTTCTCAGAAAATTATGCCTGCAAATTCAGTTAAGAAGTAAAGTATGGTGCATCAATAGCTCAGGTTAGTCGTCATGAAGGTGTCCTATATACTGGTGGAAAAATTTAGCCCATTTCTTTTTGTACAATCTCACCCAGTTACAACCACAGTTCAGCAGCAATATGGCCCACTTGAAGCCAGTGCTGAGACTGCTGAAATTCAGGGCACCTAATGTTTCAGTCTTTTCATTTTTTTCCCTGATGGTCCTTGTACACAGTAACATCAGAAAAGAATTCTTATCTGCACAGCCGTGCCTACATATTTTTTCACCTGAGGCAAAGCGATAAATGTGCACCCCTGTATACAATGCAAGATTATTTATTTACCTATTTGTGTGGGGGGATGAGTGTGAATACAAGCAAAAACATGTACATAACATGAGTGTGAATACAAGCCAAAAACTTTGATTCATGCGCCTCGTTTGTTTGAAAATTTTATAAAAAAAGAAAGAAAAGTGTAATAACTAATAAATGTGGTACATTTCATTTTCAATCACCCTTCCGATGCTATTCCAGAAGGCATTTATGAAACTGCAAAACTCAGCAGTTATGTCACCATCTATGTTCAATTAGTGGACTTTGGCAAGTTTTTTATGAGTAAAGAGCTTAAGTCAAACTAATGAGAGACAGCAAAGAACAACTAATGTTGGCAGTATAATATTTTCTATGAAAGTTTAGTTACAATTTGCTACACAAAGAGTAATTAGTTCCTTAAAGCTACTTTCAATAACAAATTTTAATGTTAGAAAATATTATATACACTACTGTGAAAGCTCTGAGAATAAATTAATGATATTAGTTTTTCTTCTTTTTAGCTGTATTGCTTATAACACAAAATTCTTTTAATATTCCCTGATGTATTCCGAAATTAAAAGTTAAAAATCAATAGTTTTAAAATAAATTTATGAATTTTTAATCGAATAGCTAAACTGGCACCCCTTCTATTTGTTCACCTGAGGCAAGTGCCTCACCCTCGTCCCGGCCCTGCTTATCTGTAAAAGAATAAAAGAATCTTATTCTTATCTCCACTTGCTATTTCATCATGGCTTTCAGAAAAGCACTTGGTCATATTTTGAAGCTGGTCAAGGTAAAGTAGCTGGTGATGGCATGGGGGCAGTATTTAAAAGAATGGCCGACAGTTTCATATCTTATGTGGTAGACATTTTTGATGCCCATGAATTTCATGAAAAAATTAAAGGAAAAACAGTTGTCAAGATTTTCTTCATCAATGAAAATGACATCCATTCAGTGCAAAAACTTTTACCATCTGAAATACCAGCTCCTTCTGGAACACTTAGCATGCATCAAATAATTGCTAATGCCAAAGGACAATTCTTTTAGAGGAATGCCAGCTGTTGCTGTAAAAGAAATGGATTTTGTGAATGCTTTTCCATGGGGAAATTTAAAAAACATTCTAAACTGAAAAGGAAACCTCAGACACAGAATGTTCTCCATAAAAAGATCTATTCTAATTCCTCAGAGAATGAAATATCTATTGATTCTGACAGGGAATTTTATTCTGAAGTAGATAAAGAAACTCAAGCATATGTTTCTGGAGGAGATATCTGCTGACAAAATGTATGGTGGTGTTTATGTTTCGGTATATTTTATCAGAGGAAGTAAGGGATGGAACAAAATACACATATGCTGCAGTGACCCAAAACAAAATGGATGAGGAGAGTTAAATTAAAATTATGTGTCTCAAAGCAAACAACTGCAACTGGAAAATATTTCATATTGATGAAAATGGTATATCATACATTAATTCCGACCAAATTACAGGAACTCTTCCACAACTAAAACTAACAATGAGAGGAAATGGAATATTTTATGAGTTTTCACTTCCACTTAATATACATGAAAAATTTGAGTCATATTACATTTTGTTAGTGCTTATTTCATGTATAAATAAATGCATTCAATTTTTTCATATATTAAAGTATCAGCTACTTAAAGTGCTATTTTAATATTTATGTGGGTAATTATTTGACAAGTATTTTTAATATTAAAATAAAGTATGCTGATTCATTTTAATATTGAATAATAAAATGATGACCCTATACCTTAGTAAAAAAAATATTAGAATGAACAAAATGTATATAAACATAAAAATATTATTAAAATCTAAACAATAACAGACCTGACATTTAGTAAGTGATTAGAGTCAAATCCGTTACCGTATATCATACGATACCACTCAGGTTATAAAGATATTTTCATATTAATATAATTTTTTACATTCCTTTTTTGTTTGTTTGTTTTACCTAAAAAACAGATATTTTTTTTTAAATTCAATAACTTAAATAAATATATATCATCATTAGAAAATGCTTTAGCATAAATTTCAATGTGATAAAAAAGAGCGGTTATAAATGTTGCTCATTTGAATTTAATTTGAGTATTACTGACAAATACTTAATTTTGAACTCTAGGGACATAAAGCACTTCCAAAGTAAGTTGATTTTGGAAGCTTAAAGAAAACTTAAAGGTATGAAATTTGATTAATTTTGTACAGTAACAGACTTGGCAATTTGTCTTGCAACTTAACGTTGCAATAGCATTTACATACTTGGTTATAGACTGAGTGCATAACCAATTAGTTTTTCATATATCTTAAACATGTACCATAATGCCTATTTTCATTTTAAAAGGAAATTATACACTTTGGTTAAAGAAGGGAGGAACTGAAATGTAAGCATTTAGTGAAAATTTCTTGTATAATGAGTTGAAACAAAAAATCGTAATGTTCTTAAATACTTCTATATCAATAATAATAATAAAAATTAAAAATAAATAAATAAACAAAGATTTAAATCTTAAAAATAAGCTAGAATGCATCACGTACTTTGTTGTTTGCCTAGGCAAGAGGATGAATGTAGAGATAATATTATAGATTTATATCAAAATCATTTAATTAGTGACAAATGGATATATGCTGTGATTATTGAAGAAGCAGAAATGAAGTGATATTTAAATGACAGAAAATTATTTTTTTAAATAGTAGAAGTGTAGAAAAACACATAAAATTTAGCTTTAAGAAAATTTTATGACTTGCACAAATGAACTTTAAAAAAAAAAAAAAAAAAAAAAAAACCCAAGCTATGCAAGTATTAAATCGATACATTTTATTCATATTTTTCAAAGTCCTCTAACATGCCAATGACTTAAAGATCACTGAAACTTCAGTTTATCTTTATGGATTATGGAAGACGTATATAGCAAAATACTACTGCTGAAGACACAAATAGATAGGAATTTTTTTCAGCAGGGCAAATCAAATTTGTTGTCTCCTTCAATACATAGCAAGAATATTGTAAAATGTCAAAATGACAGAGAAAATCAAATTCAGATATTATATTAATATTTTAAAGAAATGTTTTAAGTACTCAAATTTCTTGTTTTTCTAACAGTAAAACTGTTGAGAATATTGCTGAAATCTGTTTCTTTACTCAGTTACTGCTTTCTACATGATATGGCAGGATTTTGTAAATGCAAGGTACCCATGCCATTGTTTTTAAATTTTATAGATGACATTTAAATTGCCGCTAAAATGAAAAAACTAATAGCCTTACATTGAAATATTTAGTATAAAGTACATTTTTTTGGTAGGATGATTGGTCAAAATTTGTCTATAAAATAATAAAAGATCAGATCAGAAAGTTTTGTAAAAATATGATATCAGTAAAACGAATTATTAAATTATTGAAAATAAATTTGATACTTACAGAGATACTGGGCTCCTGATCCAAGAGAGCACTGAAAGTTTCATTATCACAGTCCATAAGACATCTTTCCAAACAAATAAATGCATATTCTTTGCCTTCTTTTTCCAAACCGAACTTTTTACATACATATGCAGCAACTCTTGCATGTTTGGCAGATGGAATACTGCATAATATTTTAGCAGCTCTGAGAGGTTCATTCAAAGCAATGCAACTGGAAAATTACAATACTTAGATTAATGAATGAAACAAAGATGAGAACTTTCTGTTAATTCCACACTCCCACTGACAAGCCATACAAATATCAAAAAGACAACCTACCAGAGATGGGCAGTTCTTTTACAAGACTAGATCAGAATTGTTCACTCACTGAAATGAATCAGTTCTTTTTTATGACTCACCATACACTAACAATAACCTTCTTAAAAAACACTGGGAACGAGAAATGACTCAAGAGTGATTAGCGAGAATGGAGCAAAGAGTGGGAAAATTAAATGAGTTTAGGATTGGGATGGTCTTGAAGCAAAGAGAATTGGACGAGCTGTGGGGATTGCAAGAATTGACTCAATCAAACAATAATTATTCCTGACTTGCTTCTAATAAAAGCTGGCCACAAACATTTAAGAAAGCTACGACCCCTTTTTCGGGAATAGGAGTAATTTACTCAGTAAAGTGAATCAGTTCCAGAAAAGATCATCCAACTCTACAACTAACAAAAAATATCGTCCAAACTAATGAGTGACCAATGTATGCATGCACCACACACACATATAAGTAGATTTATGCACTTTTGAAATTCAAAAATAATTTTTCTCATTAGTAGTTTTTTTTTTTTTTTTTTTTTTTTTTTTTGTCACAACACACATAATGGGGATGTGAAGTTTGCCCTCTTTTATTATTACAACGCAATGTAAGTGAAGTGTATTTTCAAAACTCAGTTTAGATTTTTCTTAATCCTCTGAGCGCCATGACCAGCTTTATTGGATTATGAGATTTTTTTGGTCACTTAGTATTTTTTAACCTATAATGTAAGATATTTTGCTTACATTCTTTAATAATACAGATATCTTAGCAAACATAAATTCATGAAAATAGAGACTAAAATAAGTAATTATACAAATTTAGCTAATAAATGTATCAATATGTTGCAGTCTAATGTACACAGAAGGGAAAAGTGTTTCAAGTTTGCCATTTTGGCACACTTATTAACTAATTAGTTATCCCCCCTTTTTTTACAAGGTGTGGGCTATTAATTTCCAGGACTGCTCTAATAACACCAGAACAGATGATGTGAAAAACATAACCTTTTAATACAGTGGTGGCTAAAATTGTGGACACTTTTGGAAATTTTTATGTTTTTGAACTTTGTATGCTTATAGAAAATGTTACGTGTCGCAAAATGCAAACTTGCATATATCATTTTAAAGAGAATTTATTACTGAATTCAATACAAAACACAAAATTCAATTATTTGCAATACAAAAAAGTTATACAGTCAAAAGTCGTTAATCCAGACTCGTCGGGACTTCGGTGATTCCGGATTATAGATCATCAGTTTAAATCTGGTAAGATGGCATCAGAAATTATAAAATTAAAAATATGAAACCGTAATTTATGAAATAAAGAACAATTATGATCTAAAGGTTATGAAAATTTACAAAAAAAAAAAAAAAAAAAAAAAAAAAAACTTTAATATTTATTTGTTTATTTTATTAAACATTTCTTTCAATGTAAGTTGTTTAAGTTGCTTCGTTATATGTGATAATACTTTCTCTTTAATTCTATAAACAGACATAACTTCTTGTTCAGTTACAAAGTCCTATAATTGGTGTGTCGAGAATACCGACTAATTTGTCAGTCGAAATTTTTTCGTTTTCAATAACCTCTGCGTCACTTTCTTCACTATCGGAAGCGAATTATAATCACGAGGAATTTGATTTAAATCATATCAAAGACGGAGTATATCGAGATGAAATACTACATTTAGTAAGGAATTATAAGCCAAATAAAATAAAAACATCTGCCCTGAAGATAAGGATAGTGCTGGCAGATCAACTTCCAATTCATTGCCTGTCACAGTGTTTTCCCCCCCCCCCGGCCGCAGAGCAGCGTGAAATTGATAAACAGATTTCGGAATGGTTAGAGAAACAAAGGATATGCCTTTATCCATTTTTTGCAGCAATTCCACTTTTTGTTTGACGGACATCGAAACGTACTTTCGCTTTGTAGATCCTTTGGGAGCTCCAGCATCGAAAATTCTATTTGACATAATCGAAAGTTTAAGCTTACTTTTATAAAATTGCTGTTACACAGTCTGCAAAAAATAACAAGCCGGATCCAATTCGAAGATTAAAGAACAACGCAATCTGCAACATTAACTGAAATACATAATTTTAGCTTAGCTTATACCGTCCATTATACATTAAACGCGTATGTGCACACACATATTACAGCTCTAAAGGTCTTATGTGCATGCGTAAACACCTATGCGCATGGGTCAACGCGACGCTTGCGCAGAAAGTTTGTGGCTTTGAGGTCCGGAATATGGGTGTCCGAATTAACGACTTTTGACTGTATGTACTTTAATATAAATAAAAAACTCAGTTATGAAGTGGTTTGTAATGTCTAGCTTTCCTGGCCAATCACTGTTCTTGATCTGAGAACCAATCAAATGTTAGTAACTGCCAGTAGAAGCTGACATCATGTTTACACTTGAAACAATTCATTACTTTGCTTTGTTCTGTAGAAGGAGGACCTGTTTCTTATACACTGCAATTACAAGTAGGAATTTTTGTAAAAATTTTTAATATTTAGTCAAGAAGCAATGACATCAAATAAAAGAGTAGATTGGACACCTAGAAAGAGATGTAATATTATTGTGTTACGAGAAAGTGGTCTTTCCTATGCTGAAATTGCAAGACAGGTGGGTGGTTCAGTGATGATATCGGAGTCCGAAAGTTTTGTTTACGATATCAGGAGACAAACTCAATAAAAAAACAAAGGAGGAAAAGGCCTAAAAAGGTGCACCACATCTATTGATGACAGAAGAATAAAAAGACTATGTCTCCAAGATAGAAAAATGTCATCAGCGGCCATCAGAAGTGATCTGAATAGTGCTGGTGTTTCTGGCACTTCAAGAACAATCAGGAGAATATTAACAGATGTTGGACTAAGAGGCAGAATTCCACGAAAAAAAGTCTTATCTTAATTTTCAGCAACGAAAACAAAGACTACAGTGGGCAAAGGAACACATTAATTGGATAGATGATCAGTGGACACAAGTTATATGGAGTGATGAAACTAAGATATCGTTATTCAGTAGAGATGGGCGAAAATATGTAAGACGTAGTATTGCATAATCGAGAAAATATTGTTAAGAATTTTATTATTACTATTTTTATTATTATTGTCTATTTTTCAAAAGTGTGTTTTTGTTTTATTATTGTGTGAAGTTGTAACTATATGTCTTTTCTTGTGTGGCAACAATGCTTCTGTAATTCTTCAATTTGAACTTTTGGATGTGTGCCAAGTTTGATGGCGTAATGCTCTGGTGAGAGCGTCGATTGATTGTGTAGATGAAACATGTTGTTTCAGAACGTTATTTCTTTAAAATATGTAAAATAAATGTTTTGTTTTCTGAACTCGGATTATGCAAACGTTATTTAGTTTCAACATAAAAGTTTGGCGTCCGTTTGACAGGACGTTTGTGTGATTTCGAGTAGTTTTGATTTAGGCGTTTTGTTAAAATGGAGTTGTTAAAGGCAAAACGTAAAAGTGAACGTACTTCGTTTACGTTAACTACGAAGATTGTGGAAGAAGAATTGCCTACTTGTACGGATCCTGAGAGATTGCAAGTGTTGTTGGGGCAACTAATTGACAAATTTGAACGCTTGGACAGTACTCAAAGCAGTGTTTTAGAACAAACCAAGGAAGCTGATTTCGAAAATGAATTTAATACGGCTGAAGGATACAGAGATTCCTTTATAGCTTTAAAGGTGAAACTTCAGAATAAAATTGGACAATTGAATTCGATGAATGTTACTACAGATATTGCTTCAGTTTCGATTTCGGATCCTAAAGAAAATAAAAACAGGAAGTTCAAACTTCCTAAACTTGAACTGAAAAAACTTTTCTGGAGATGCAAGAGAATTTTTAGGCTTTTGGAGCCAATTCTCCAAAATTCATGAAGATGCGGATATTGTGCCGGAAGATAAATTTTTGTACTTAGTGCAAAGTGCAGTACCTGGCTCAAAGGCAGCTCAACTTTTGAACAGTTTTCCTGTTACCGCCGCCGCGAATTATCCTAAAGCTATCGAGCAGCTGAAAGAAAGATTTGGTAGAGAAGACCTTCTGGTGCAGATCTATGTAAGAGATTTGCTTGGGCTTGTTACAAAGAATGCTACAACAGGCAGAACGGCGTCGGACTTAGGAGTACTTTATGATAGTATAGAAAGTAAATTACGAGCGCTGGAAAGCTTAGGACGCACCAAGGAAAAGTTTGCTGATTTCTTGGGACCTTTAGTGGAGTCGTGCCTACCTGAGAATATTCTACGTGCCTGGGAGCGGAGTCGAACTTCTGAACAGGGACAGGAAAAGAGTTCTGAAAGAACGCTTGAAAAACTAATGTGTTTTTTAAGGCATGAAGTAGAATCGGAAGAAATGATTAGATTAGCACAATCAGGATTTACTCATTCTGTTAAGCGTCTTAATAAAAATGTTATTTCAGGTAATTCAGATTTAGCAACAGCTGCCGCGCTGGTAAGTACAAATGAAACCAGTAAAGGTAAGCAAAATGTTTGTATATTTTGTGGTAAGCCTCATATGAGTGCTAAGTGTTTTAAAGCTGAAAATATGAGCTTAAATGAAAAGAGGCAACTTGTACAAAAGAAAGGTGTTTGTTTTTCATGTTTAAGAATTGGCCATTTAAAAAACCAATGTAAAGCCAATATTAAATGCCCCATTTGCAGTTGTGATCATATAAAATTTATGTGTCCTCAGAATGTTAGTTCTGTAAAACAAAATGACTCTAAGTTGGATGTTTCCCTTTCTAATAATAGTAAGAGCGAGAAAGTTTATTTGCAAACTTTATGTGTTCTAATTAAAGTTAAAGATCGAGAGAGAAAAATTAGAATTCTCTTGGATTCGGGATCCCAACGATCATACGTTGGGGAGAAAATTATGAAGCGAATGAAGGCTGATCCTATTCGACAGGAG